ACTATGCTTGTTATATGTGTGAGATTTGGTAAAATTCGGTCCAGTAATAAGCGAGATAGCCTCCAGGTGTAACCCCCCCCCCCTTAAAGGAGCACCAGGGACTCATTAAACATGTTCAGTAGGTAGGGATTTTTTTTTTGCCTGGGTGGTGGCTGAATCCTTCTCTTATCGATTTTGGACCACCAAGGGATTTTTAACGTGCACAACTTGCACACAGAGCCTTCGTGATTTTACGCCCTTGTCCAAGAAGGTTAGATGTAGATCTTTCCTACCAAAAGATTAGGGCTATTGCTGAAAGACAGCAGTAAGAAGGAGCCAAGAGTAACAGTATAAGGACTGCAGAAAGAGTCAGAAGCCCAGAGGAGGGGGCAAAGAAGGTGATGGGGTGGGAGCAGAAAATGGAGACGAAAGCAGACGACAGAGCAGGAAAGGAGACAATTTTAGCGCGAAACAAAATGCCCGTTGCTATCCGGATTCGAACCCGGGACCTATTGAATGAGAGACAAACACCTTAACCCCTACGCCACGAGAGCCCCCCCCCCTCCTCTTCCTGGTTTGGGAAGACCCACACACACAGTGATCGGATAAATTAATCACTTAATTTTGCTGGCATTTACTAGCATCATTCTGCTAGCATTCTTCCTCGTCACAAAGACATAACACAATGACCATAAAGAATACGAGAGGGGGGGGGGTGTACACACCTCATCACACAGACACATTATCATAAAGAGGACAGAGGGTGATGTGGGGGGAGGGGGGTAGATTTCTATTTGGAGTGATCTTCATTTGGTCAGAACACAACATTTTATGTTACAGCTGTTTAGTATTGTAAAACGCTCTGAGCCCGAGTTCTTTTATCGAGAATGAGCGCTATATAAAATTAATGTCATTTGTAATAATATTACATTAGTTGGGAAAAGGGGGGGGGGGGTCGAATTGCTCGGGGTTATTTGTTGTCGGTTGTTGTGTTTGTTGTTGTTTTTTGTTTTTGTGGGGGGGCTGGTCTTTTTGTTCGGGTTTTTTTTTGGATGAGGGGGGGGGGGGGGGGCGAGGAAGGAGATGAGTTGCATTTTTCATTTTTAGTCTATTGTTTGACTTGTTACATTTCGCGCGTCACTGCCGTTCTCATCAGAAACAGCTGTCATCACATATGAGTATCATATTTCAAATAGTCGTAAATCAGGACTACAAAAAAAAAAAAGAAAGACAACTTTTTAAAAAGGGGATTTGTCCTCAGTGTCTGCCGGTGACTAATGCTGTTTACACCCTATAAGTTGTCCTAATCTATTATCTATTTGTGGTGGCCAAATTTTGCTATTCAAAAGGCTTTTTAATGGCTGCGTCGATCGACATGCGGTTTTCGCCAAAAGATTCTTTAAAATATTCTCTAGATCATGACACCCTTCGTTTTTTTCAGTTTTGAGACAGTTTTTGCTGCAAAAAGGTAAATTTCTTTATTTCGCCAATCGCTTTTATAGGCCGACGCTTCTGTGATTTTAGAAAATCCGGTGCGGAAGTGATATATCGCGAGGCGCATTTTGTTTTGAGAGTATAGATCTTGATCTAGACCTAATTTTTTGCATATCTCAAGATTTATTGCTCCGTTCCAGTAGAGTGACTCTCAGTTGATGCTAATGCACCGATCATTCCTTTCATCGAAAGGGGGCCCAGCTAGTATATATTATATATGGTTGTGTATACATGAATATAGACAAATATATAGATAGACAGATAGATGGATAGACAGATAGATAGATAGACACACACACACCAACACACACACACACACACACACACACACACACACAAACATACACAGGTATGCATAATGATACGCGTGAGTGTGTGTGTG